AGCAACTGTCTTGATGCAAGTGACCCTGTGGTGAGATGAATGTAGCTGATAGAGAACTGCACTCTTCATTACTTTAGGGACCGCTACACGATCACCAAACATTAAGCAGTTGTCAATTACTGACAGCGAATTCCATTTTTGATAAAAGTGTTTCATATGTGAACAACCAACCACACTGAAGGGATCTCATCACTTTGCCTATCATAAGGTCACGATAACTAGCTGCTTTCATCCTCATGGCTGATAAGGCTAAAGATTGCACAGCGTCTGCTAAAACTCCTTCCAAATCTACTTCAACAGGAACCGCAGCCTCTATCATATCTTCGTTTTCCAACTTGTGGCTGCCAAGAAGGCGTGAAAGTGCATCGAATTAATCAAAATCATGTGTGGAGATGTACTTTATTTTGAAATTATAACCGAAAAGGGTAACTTAATTGGTTGTTGGTGACTAGCAGTGGAATCCAGGATGCGCACTTTGTCATATTTGGGACTCGTCATCTGCATGTGCCTGCACTCCGCAGTGACTGATGATGTCCCCACCGAGGCTGGAACCCAGTGCCCATAGTTTCAAACGCCAAAGCGTTATAAGAAAAGAGTAACTGCCTGATGCCTGATGGAGTGATCGATGTTCAGTTTGAAAATAAACCATTCGGCTTTCAGTCTCATCGATATGTAGAAAGATAACCAATACATTATCACTTCTCACACCTACAATAGTGACAATGTATGCATTCTTCGTTTGTTTGCCCTCTATGTACATACTATTATTGTTTCCTTTTGTAAATGTAGTTTCCGTCTCACTTCTTTGTGTGCTGTCGTTTTAGAAGCGGGCTTGGAAATCAGGTAGCTATTGCATACTTTGTAATCGTAGGAGAGCGATATTGATGATCAGCAAGTGTGTCTGTCAGCAGCTCGGCGTCCCTTTTCATCAGCTGAACGATTGCAAACATATCTGACTGCCCATCGGTGAATGCGATTTCCTGTGTGAACTGGAATTCTTTGATGAGGGCCGAAAATTGGCAGGAGGTGTGTTTGAGATCAGTTAGTAGAGTAAAGCATTTTGTGAAATATTTTGATTATAGATACCTATGCAAGACCTTCGTTTTTAATGTGATTATATTTCCGTTAAGATTTTTTTAAGAGTTCTGGAAGCGTGTACAGTTGGTTATCAACATCATTCGGCAACATGTGATATGTGACATGTGATATTGATATCATAATTGCACTCATTAACTGGAATGATAATTTCCAACTTCCGGTTGTGGTGTACTAGGAATAAGTCAGAAGATAATATTTCCTTGACTTTCTCACATGCGCATTGGCAGTCACGAGACCAATACGATTTGGTAGCCCTTTTCAACAGCTTATTCAACGCTTCTTTCAACGGATGCATTTTTGAGACAGATGAAGCGAAGAAGCTGCTTCGCAAAGTATTTTCCACCACTGACCTTGGCAGAAATATCATCTATTCTCGTATTGGCAGTGGTCGGTAGGAATGGTCTTCAAAACCATAGTTCAAAGCAGTAGAGGAAACTGCACAGATGCATACTACTCCACTTACCTTCCTCACCTACAATAATTGGTGCTGGTCATGTGGAGAATTTCAGAGCGCCTGATTTTTCTGATCGGTCTGACAGTCGACTGACCAACTGACTGATTGTGGAGCTGCATGATGAAGTGGTCTTTCGTGTTCAAAAAGAGACATAACATCATTTCGAAGGTGTAGTTTGACATTCTGAAGTGGGTGACAACCCGGAGTCTCATTAAATATTGATTTATTTTTATAGCTAAGAATACTGATCAGGTTGATCTACATTTCCGACAGCAGGTGTTCTCGGAGATGAACATATACTTGTGGGCACAGTGAATTTAAAGGCATTTGCCTGAACGACAGTCTATCATTCCAATCATTGCCCCATACAAGGATCGAAATTTTGACGATTGGTAGTGGCAAATGGTAGACATCCAGCTGGATGACAAGTTTTCCGAGAGATAAAAGTGATGTCTGAAACAGTGTCCACCAGAAGACGAACTAGGTAATCATTCACGCGTAATTCTATGTATTTCCCTCAGTTCAATATTTGCACAGCAGAAACACTGATCTGGGAATAGACATCGATCTATGATGAGTGGAAGGATTTGAATGTAAACTGACCACGAAGGCTAGGCTTGCAACATCTTCCTTTACGACTAATATTTGTGGCATTCGTTACATTCACGTTTGTTGTATGAGCCCAAACATGTGAAGGTATTTCCATTCACCAGAAAACCAACAACTAGATGGTAAGTAGATGGCTTCTTATCTGCCTCAGATCTGGGAAAATTTCGGCCAGATGATAGCTATGGTTACGTGTACGGCGACACCCACAGGAGGATTATTATTGTCAATAATTTTCGCTTCGTTCTCTAAGTTCACCAGTCTTAGACACCACGCTGTCACTTCTTGAACAGTCATTGTAAGATTCTGCTCAATACAAGATGAGATGCGTGTTCGGATTTCTGAATCATCAGGAGAATTTAAACGACAAGTAGAAATTATGCATTTGAAACGGTCCTGGATGAGTGATCCCAACTGTGAAATGCTCACATGGTTGACGGTTAAGTTTATCAGCAAAAGTAAGGAAATCATCAGATTTTCCTTTGGACAGATATCATACATTTACAGAGGATATTGAATGATGATGCATGTTTCCACGAAATATTTCACGAAGAATTTCGATCGTTTCATCAAAATCAACATAACGGGGACATTGTCGCTAGATTCAGTTTTACGAAGGAGAACTTGAACTTTTCCTGAGCTGTCTAATTTGACCAATTCTACTTCGAACAGATCTTCAAGTCTTGCAAGTCGTGAATCAAGAGTGATTCCAGCATCTGCATGATGATTGAATTTTGTAACTGACTTGAGAATAGAATCTATTCTCCTCACAGTGTAGGAATGATTGGATAGGTGGAAAGATAATTTATTGATTAGAGTTTCGATTAGTCAATTGGTGAGTAGTCGCATCTCTGGTAGTGAGTGAATTACCCTTAAATTGCAGAACATTCTTCTGTGTACAGTGGAGAATGTTTTTATTTTGATTATAATTGGTTATTCTAACTTCCCGTATCCTTTTTGACCTGTCTGCATTTTTCGCATATTATTCAAATGAATTTATCATATCCGAGAAAATTGCTTCATTTTGGGTTATCCAAATATCACAAGGGAACTAATTGTATGATGTAATATAGGACAGTTGAAGACTTTTTGAGAACACGTATCGAAAATAAACTTTTACAAAAAGATGTGTGATAGAGTAACTTTTTACCATTTAATATGTGGAATACAGAACCTTCTGTATGGAACTCGTCAGCTGGATATATCTGCGTTCTGACTGAGTGATGACGTTCCTTACTGATACTCGAACGTAAACGTGTAAACCTAGTTTACCAGGTTACTAAGCAAAGTCTTCTAAAAAATTTTTTAAAAATTTTATTGCTTTACGTTTCGAGTGGAACATAGGGTTGCGAGCTACAGTTTTGACGTTTCGATAGCAGTGATGTTTATTTTATGTTTTTACGGGTTGGGGTTGCCAGCGTCACCTAGGCCCAATTTTTCCTCTTCAGCGACCTTACTACCAGCTTAGCGAGGTCCAGGATTGCGTCGGGCGGGGATCGAACCCCAGACCACATGGGTGGTCGGCGAGAGTTCTACCACTGAATCACCTACGCTCACTTTTATTCTACAATGGACATTTGTTTTCGCCTGTTAAAAGCTTCGAACTTCCTGTTGGTTGATTTTTACTGAGACCGATATGTTCAAGCTTTATTGGTAATAATCGGTTGCTGCTCAAGACATTAACAGAGTGTCTGTAACTAGAAAGCTGACAAGTCAAAAACAGACGGAACACTTTTACACCGATTAAACTGAGCAAACAGAAATTCCAAAATTCTCAGTAGATTTAAACCCTTTAAAATTTGACTTGAAAAATTACCATAACAACCTAGAAAATATAATCCTTGAAGATTTATAAGCTGAGGATGGGTATGAAAATTGTTTGGTATTTTTTACTCTGTAAGCTTTTGGTACTTAATTGTGGCAATGAAGTGCGTCGAAAACTAGATAACAAGGCGTGAAGACGGCTATTAAACGATTTCCAAAATTATCTTTCCTTAAATGATAGTAGCCTGTGTTCCGTTTGTCTCACAGCAACAAAGAAACTGCTAGTTACAACCGTAGTCAAGTCTGTTAAGGCATCCAGACGTATATATATATACAATGCTTAGGAAGGCTTTGTGTGCTTTTTGAAGTGTGTAGGTGGTTGTTACTTCCCGGCTGCCCACACCGTGGAAGTTGGTTGATTCTTCGGGTACCTGAAACAGAAAGAGGGTTAGCGTTGCCTGACCGCAGAGTCCAGGGGACAACTTCTTGAGGCCGGTCACACACAGCCTGTATGAACTGGTTTCTTGGTTTGGTTCTGTATTAGTAAACTTATCGCCGGTTACGGACTACCGTAGGGTAAGTCAGGATATACAATTTTTGTGGTCGACGTTTTCTAACTCCCTCTTTACAGAGTGCAGAGACAGCATAGCTGGTATTCTGGTCGTCTGAGGGAAACACCTCAGTGCTGTTACATCCCTGTTCCCCAGCAGTACGACTTCGCCCGCGGACTCCCAGCATAGTGTAAAATTTCTTACACTATGCCGGTAACTGCTGTTAGTCTAATCGCTATCCTAACAACCTTCTTGGCATGGCCTACCAAGGACCTGCAGGAACAATAGTTCCAACCAGTGTAGCTTGTTGAGTCACTGCGATGTGCAAGCCCGACCACCACGTCAAGGTAGCAGCTATCAATCGGGTGTAGCGACTTGAACTGCTGTACATCGGTGCACAGTTCTATGTTGAAGACAGATGTATATATATATATATATATATGTAATCGCAGAACACAAAGAGAAACCCCATTGAAAAAGAGTAAAATAAGCTTAAAAATACAAAATATATATACATATACAGATACCTGTTTCACTGTTGTAACAAGCAATGTTGTTATTTCTCGGTAGGGTATTTTCTTCGCTTGCATTTTTGTCCGTAACAATTCAATTGGTGAGATAGCCATTACGGCAAATACTCGGGATACACCACCAACTAATGGTGGGATAAAATGCTTAGCCGAGGCATAATTCTGTTCAGTTATATTTTCTGGCATTGATTTATGCTTGGTTTTCGAAGTATATCCAACTTGATGTTTTAACCAATCATTAACAGTGAAGTAGATAACAGTCTGGGGAAGAGTCATTACACTAAAGTACAGAGGAGGACGTGTCAGTTAGTGAGATATCAACTTACAGTGTTGGTGAAAGTCCACTCCATAGTGATAAAATACCTTCATTGCGAATAATTTTCATGAGTGTAACCTTTAGAGAAGATAAGCATCACAAAAAAAATACAGAAAAAAAAGCGGAAAAAGCTTCATTAGAATAGATAATAACCAATTTGAATAATACAGTTATTGATAGTAAAGGCCTTACAAGTTGAAAAAGCCATAACAGCGTGACTTTACTAGGGAAAAAACCCAGCGAGTTCTAATGGAGTTTTACCTATGTCACCTGTGATTATTGCTAATGCCTACAACATCACCGTGATGTGAGCTGATCCAGTGATCGATACAGTCTCAGAACAATTCTCTTTGAAACCATTGCTACCCTGTCGGGCATCACAGGATGGGAACACCTAACCAAGGACTCTTCGGCAATGGAGACAGCTTACCCTTCCTTGTGAATACAAGATCCCGATTGTATGAACACCGCTTCTGACTGGCCATCATGCCAAATACCCTTCCAGCAATCCGTGACAGGGTTACCATGCCATCCACGGCAATCCGTGCTGGTCGTGAGTCACAAGTTAAAATGGTCCCAGCCCCCTCACTCAAACTCCCAGTGGTCTGTGTCGCCCGGACCCCCATAGTCTACATTATGCCTGGGGAGTTTTCCTGTACCATCCATTTGACCTGATTAGTCAGACGCTTGAGGCAGTGCTTAGCCTGGGCCCAGTAAACTGAACCCTCTCCAGTTGGTACCACGAAGAGGCGGCAGCCGCGTGTAATTCGACTCTCGGTTCCGCTTTTATGGGTGCTCAGATGAGTTTCTTCACGTTAATACTCAGAGCACTGGACGGAATGTAGTCGCTGGGGACAAGGTAACCAAAAGGAGACTCGTTTATACAGAGGCGTCAAAAAGGAAGCAAGTTCTATTCTAGAAACACCTGGTCGACCTGTGTCACTCAATTAACCCTTACCATGATTTATTGTAAGATCATCTATAGAATCCAGGCTAATTTCATTACAAACTTCTAAAGATAACGGAGGCCTTGGTTATTCACTGAATTTAAACCAGATTTTTGTGTACAAAAGAGGTATGTACAGCCCCACGATTTTTTAACCTTAGTCATAAGATAGAAAGGAGTGTTGAACATTTGCTTATTTTAGTCATCATACATTTCTCTTATGATTACGAATATCATTACGCTTATTTTTCGTTTTGAACAGTTTTCAATACTATTTCCCTTTTCTCACTTATTATTTTTAAGGTAAGATACATTTTTTGCAATGTTACAATCTATCTTATCAAACTTGTGTAATGCTTTATTTGCCAACCAATCCCGTTAATTTTATATCTCTTTCCAAGATCTACACACCCTATGAACTATTTTCTATGAAATTATTTGTCTTATCGCTTGATAGTGAACGCCATCTCTGGTGTAGAAGCGATATCCAGCTGCCTGGCTGGCTGGTTATCGATCAAAGGACGTGTGTACTGCTCAGCAGTTCGCTCCCACTTCCGTCTTTATGTCTATGAGTGAAACAGCCATCGAAAGTGGAAGATATGAAAAGCCTGGCTACCTGTCTTTCATCATAGGTGTCTGCGTTCTACCTACATCCCGTGTTAGGTGGTATAATAGGGTGAGCAATATCGAGATTAGGCTTCGGTCGAGTGTTAGATAAAAAGGGAAAATCAATTGACAAGGTTGTGAAGTTACATCGATTGACATGGTTAGGACATGTGTTATGCGTGCATCTCAAGTCACCGCCTTCCTCGACAGTCAACCTTAGTTGACATAGGATTGATCAGGTTGGAAAAGAGCTAGTGGTGGTCAAACCAAAGCATGGCTTCATCAGTCAATGAAATCCACAACAGTTAGTTTGAGCCAGCCATGTTGGGATGTGTAGACTGCTTGGCTAGTTGTGATCCTCAGGATGGTAAGAAGCAGTGACGACTGAAGACAATTGGTGATATGGCTCAAAATCCTCTTTGTCGATGATGACGAGGATGCATTCACTGTTTGTGATTTGTCATATGCAATAAAACTCTATTATTCTTCCATATTACTACTATTTTCTCCTCATTCACACTTCTATTTATTATCTCTCGTTTGAATCTGTCTTTACTCTCTTCTGTTGCTTTGTGTGGTACACAGAGGGAGTGTGGCAATTCGAAATGCTGCATATCTGTGCAGAGGTCTATTTTGAACTATGATTATGATTAGAAACATCTTACAGAATTCCACACTATTATTATAGGTATGTACACCTTTTATTTAGATTTCCTCTTGGGATATTGTTGCTAAGATACCACATATATATATATATATATATATATCCGTTCGCACAGCTGGATTGTGAATTCTTAGAGGAGTCTGTAGGACGTTGTACAGGTGTATTTATAAAACAGACTCACAAAATGAAAAACTAATGAAGTTTGAAACATAATTAAAAGTGCCACATCATATTCAAAACTTCTTAGGTCTATCCTCCGAAATAACTCAGGAATGTTACAGAAAAATACTATTAGCACAAGACATATAAGCGAACAATATAGTTAATTTTAATTAGATCTTCTTCAGGCTTTACTCTAATTTACATAGCTTTATATATAAAAAATTTAACCAATGACAGCGAGTTTGTGGATCAAATTATAATAATGTGTTAAATGTTTTAAACGTCAGTAATAACGGTTATTATAATGATAGACAAATAATGATGACAAGGTTTAGGCACGTGGCGATAAGAATAACGAAGGTAGTAATATGTGTATATGTAGACAATTCAATAAGTAAATTAGGTCAATTCTTGAAAGTTACGTAATGCTAAAGGTGAAGTAGACAGAAAATCAGAGTTTAAATAAATATAATAAAAATGCGAAGGAAATGGAAAGTAATAAAGGGTGGAAGGGTTTTGATTAGAATTCACCTAGGCCAAGGGAGAGACAAAGGTAGAACAAACTTCTTTTGTATGCAAAGACTAGGATTGTTCACTCGAATTAATTCCCATAGTTTCGGCTATGTGTAAAAGGCAGGTTCGAATTCCCTTCGAAAGGTTCGCTAGAATGCGATAGATAACTTCGAAGGCATTGCTTCTGTGCACACTTGGTGACCACTATCGACCAAATGAGACAAAATAGGACTTCTTATAGAATTTACTTGGCCTTTTCCGAATCATGAAGGAAGATACTGTTGGGTAGAACATTCTCCTATGCATTTCTTTAGTGAATGAAGAGTGGTGATCGCGTTTCGAGCAGTGAAAGTAGGTTACTACTGAGTCGTCCTTGTCATTTAAGAAATTATTTTTACTGACAAACTAGGGTCTAGGAATACTTAGACAGTTTGTAGGCCACGAATAATACAGTACGTTGGATCATAATCATATTAACATGGTTATTATAAATAATAATTTATGTTGAGAACGTCACCAGGAGATAAGAAAATGTTCCCGCTAACCTACTGACTAACTGACTGGTTTCAACATAGAACTTTGCACCGATGGGCAGCCGTTCGAGCTGCCACACTCCATTTAGCACACAAAGCAAGGATAACCTACTACATTAGGAAATTAAGACAATCACATAGGTATCACTCAACCTCTAGTCTCGCAATTTGTTAACTCTTGCATCTTACCTATTGTTCTTGATTGCTCCTTCCTAGTCTTTCCTGGACCATTCAAAAAGGACTATGCCATATTGCGAATGGTATTAAAGGCTTTCAGTAGGGCAAGTGGGTTGTCATTTGGGCAGCTCGTTACTACTGTAGTAGACAGGCATTTAAAAACTCATGTGAGAGATGTTTTGAACCCATACTGTCCGACTCCCAACACACCCTTTGTATTCTCAACTCTCCTCGCTTGCATCTCATCAGTTAGGAATAGAAGTCAGTATAAAAGATTATATGCTCGTACAACCAAGTACATAAACTCAACGATGTCATATTTGGTGAGCGTCCTATGATAAGTGCGAAACCAGCGAATTATTATGTTACTAGTAAAACAAGTGCCTGTCTTATTCTCTCCTATTTGCAATTTATGGTGACACTATTAAATTTAACTTATAATTTTAGCTATTAACATTATTTTACACTTTTTGTACAATTCTGACTTAACTGTCACTGCAAATACCAATACAGCTGCAATTAGTAATCCTGTAATGTCACTTTTTTATTTTTGTTTTTGTCGAGTAAATTAGATGTAATATTGTACGAAATGCTGAAAATTCCACACCATAGTATAAGTACTAATCTTTTGGAATAAAGCAAATTATTATCATTATAATTCCTACAGTAACACTAAGTTAGATCCCTATTGAAACTTTCTATCATTCCGAAAATAACCGATGGCATAGGTATCAAAACTTTGGAAGTTAGAAAAACTCAATACATTGACAACAGTTTGATAGGTAAATCAACGTACTAGAACTCTTCAGTGCAACAAATACCTAAGAACCAAGTTATTACTTTTACTATTAGTCACTAATTTCTAGCTTTGAACTAGTTTCTCCACAAATATAATCCTTCATATTGTTTAGTCATCCGGTGTCCATTAATACAGATACTAGATTTCTTAGTGAATCCAATCTAGTAGTTGCTTTGTACCAACCTCTAAACAAACTACACTGCCTCCATTAACAGGGAATAAACCAAACAATGTTATGTCGACATTTTCCCTAGGTCTGATTCTACTACGGAACCGTCTATTTTTCTCACTTAACACATCAGATCGTCAGAATTATCTGCAGAAATCATGAAGTGTGGAATTTAATACGACCACAAAGATCATTTTATAACATGACCTACATGAAAAATTCCGGGGCAACTCAGTGAAAATTCCTTGGGGAAATGCTTCACTCACCTCCCCAAAACGACTCGAAATCACCTTAAAATCTTTTATTTGGGAATAAGTAAGTAAGCATGACCTAACAAAATTTCCTTACTGATCATATATCCGAGGTTTTATTTAAAATTGGCTATTACCACACTGCCTTCACTTTTAAAACATATTTAAAGTGTTGTTAAATTTAGCAGTTAACTGTCACCTTGTCCTAATCCTGAGACATTGAGAACAGTACAAGACATTTCAAAGGACCAGACTTACTGTAGCGCTTGGGGTACGCCGATAAAAAGTGACAAAGGATGGATTTTCAGAATGCAGGATACATGTGGAACAAGAGTGAGATTCATTGGAGGTAAACCAATTCCATCTGCCAGAACATTTCATAGCATTTTTTGACCACGAGACAGCGCACGTGTTAGGACTAAGTGAGCATGTGCAAAGCCTTTCTATTAGCCCATTGCAATAAGTAAGACATTTGCTATCCGAATACACTCGGTGGGACTATCAACAATTTCTTTTAAAACTAGATTATGCGTGTTACCTGCATCCGCACTTTCAAGACGTCTAGGGGTGTCATAACAAAAGCTGTCATTATCCCACCAACCGAAGAAGCAACGATTCGGTGGAAAAGTGAGATATCGGGCTTCTTCCTTTCACCATTTTTTGCCATCTTAGCCCTTTTCCTCGCTACACTAGACTTTCATCGTCAACCCGCCGTAAACCATACTGTGCGCTGTTAGTCAAGGACAGAGGAGAGATTCAGAGTTTTGATTGAGGATAGGAATTTTCAAGCCAGTAATAATCCTTTTTTAACTAGTATTTACGCCCATTCAATTCCTTTATGGACATGCTGACTGAGGGTGCAAGCACCAGTTCTTCTGGGAGTCGGTTCCAAGAGTGTATGGCTCAGATTCAGTTGATAAGGATAGAAGGCTCTTGTGGCCTGTGTTAATCCTTGCAAAATATACCTCTGCAGAGATCTAACTTCTCTTTGAAAGCGTTCACCGATGGAGCTGTTACTACTGAATCAGGTAAGGAGTTCCAGTCGTTGACCACTCTGTGAGAGAATCTAAATTAAACACGTATTTTAATCGTTCTCGGTTTGAGCACCTTTTTGCGGTGACCCCGTAAATGTATCCTAGAAGGAGAGAAAAGTTTAGAAAGGTCAGTTCCTAAATCACCCTTAAGTATACGGTATGCTAAAATTAAGTTGCCTCTCTTCCTTCGGTATGATAACGGAAAGAGATTTAAATGCTCCATCCTCTTATCATAAGGAAGGTGTGAGATACCACTAACTAATTTCGTTCCTACTCTCTGTACTCTTTCCAGGATATATGCCTCCTTTTTGAAGCATGGACTCGCCGCTTGTACGCAGTATTCTAGATGAGGCCTGACATATGTTGCGTAGAGTATTTGGAACATGCCCTCATCTAATCGTTTGAAAGCCCTACGGAGTGCCCATAGCATTCGAAAAGCCTTAGCTGCGGCTGCATTGCAATTTGCAGTTGTTTTCAAATCATTGCTGACAATGATTCCTAGGTCCTTCTGTTCGTTAACATCAGATAGTTCTGTGTCCCCTAGGGAGTACGACGTATAAGACTTCTGACCTAAGTGCATTACTGCGCTTTTCCTAGAATTCATTTCCAAACTCCACAGGTTCGACCACTCAGCTAATTTGTCTAGATCAGTTTGTAGGGCCAACCTATCCTCGTTATTATTTACAGTTTTCCATATCTTAATGTCGTCTGCAAATAACAATGAAGATGAAGTAAGAATCCCTGGTAGCTCATTAACATATAATAGGAATAGCAAGGGGCCTAATACAGTTCCTTGAGGCACTCCACTGGATACTGCTTTCCACCCTAATAGTACACCGTTAACTCTAACCTTCTGCCTTCTATCCATTAGGTAATCCCTAAACCACTCATATAGGCATTGGTCTAGTCCGAAACCTTTAAGTTTACTAAGGAGACCTAAGTGGGATACTTTGTCGAATGCCTTGCTAAGACCAATAAAAACCACGTCCAACAGAAGGTTTTTATCTCTGGCCTCGACCCAATCTTCCCTAGCTAACAGTAAGTTTGTCAAGCAGGATCGTCCTGGTCAGAATCCGTGCTGTTCAACTGCCAGTAAGCCATGTGTTTCAACATAAGCTAATAGCTGATCCCTTATAATAGTTTCCATTACCTTTGCTATAATGCATGTCAGACTTACCGGCCTGTAGTTAGATACCAATTGCCTGTCTCCCTCTTTGAGTATAGGGCTTATAATGGCATCCTTCCAGTCCCTGGGTAGCCTAGCCTGGGTCAGTGACATGGGATAACCAGTACTCCTTGGCTTTGGAACTTTCCTACTACGTCCTTTGCGATTCTATCACCTAATGAATAGGAAGAAAGGAGATATATCAGGTCCATAGTCACTGAATTTTGAACTTTCTGATGATATCTGCACTCTGCTTATGGTCTGATATGGAGAAGAGATTCAAACTAATCAGTCTTTCCTCGTTTCTGGTATCGCTTTTACCAGTTAGTATCAGTCAGACTGATTCCCCTGTGGTCACTTATTGGTTGTAAGGTGAAGGCTTTTGATCTTTGATAAACTTCGGCATCCAATATCCAATGTCGTTTTTACAAACTAGTTTAAACTATTTCGATTTCTTTGTGCTCGCTTCTTGGTTGCAAGTTCATCCTGCCACTCTACTGGTGAAGCTTTGGTTGACTCTGAAATGAGTGGTTCTGGGATTGATTATATGTGGTTTGTAGTATGTGGTATGTAAGGACAGTGTCGGTACTGTGAATGTAGCTGATCCTATCACCCGTTAGTCGTCCGGTGTGGTCGAAAAGGGAGATAACAGTACCAAAAACAGACATAATCTGTGTAGATTATGAAGACTTAAAAAGAAAAGAAAGAAAACATAGAAACAGAATGTCAATGAAATTTTAAATTGTTATCCACATATATTTCAGTAATAAGGGAAATAATAGTTGGAGTAGTCAGAAGGATAAGACAAGAGAGAATATGAAGAAGTAAAACGATGATTTTAGGTCCATACCGGCTGATAGTGTGTGAGTTCTAAGGGGATAGGCCATTTGGACACAGTCCTTTGTCGGTGCATGACTGTCCAGTCTCCACATACAGCTTCCTATGGAGTGTGCAATAGCCACATCTGCCAGTGAAGTGTTCCAGTGACGGCAAGCCCGCAGTGAAAAGAAGCGAGAGAGCACTCAAGTCTTCGCCCTTTGGCGATCTGTCCTTCTGGGATTACCACGAGGAAGCCCATACGTAGTTAATGACAGAATACCTTCGTTTGGGTGATTCTGGTCATTCGTAATCTTATAGGTAGTAATCAAGTTCTCTCAAAGCCGACGGTAGCTAAGTATGAAGGGACCTAGCTTCTTCAGCCGTTCATCATATGGTTTATTTCGGAGACCCACCATCTCTTAGGTCTCTCGTCCCCTAAACGTTTGGTGTCTCTTCAAATTAGCTGCAGAGCAGCGATAATGTGTACTTCACGGTACGGTCTTTCGTATGTTTTGTACAACCATAGAAAGAGCGCAGGAGTGACAGCACCTAACTATGTGTAAAGTTTATGACCACATATGCCCTTGCTATATCTCCCACGTAATTCACGCTTGTGTCCATTTTCTGTCCCAGAACTAGACCTATGGAGCGCTCCAACTGATCTCATTTTGGAATTTTCCTTCATCTAGGTAGTCCTCCAACCATGATAGAAGCGGTCCACTTATAACTGCCTGACTTATTTTGTATAGGAGGTCATGGCGAACTGTGCCAAGCGTCTTCTTAAAGTCTAGGAATATCACATGGCCCGGAGCATTCATACCCTAGGATGACATCCAATCATTCCAAGCTGATGGTATGCTTGTCACGCAGGATCTACCTCTCCTGAAACCATGCTGTGCTTTACGGAGTCCTGTCGGAGTTTCCTCTGATGTTATCATCAGCCAGAACGTCGAGTACTTTGGATACGGTTGAGAGTAGTGCTACTGGTCCATAACTCATGGCATTCTGTCTATTACCATCCCTGAAAATGGGAGAAAGGGTAGCTCTCCTGCACCTCCTTGGCAGTTTTCCAAAATCCACCGAATGTCGGAACAGGCTGCGCAAGAGCTCACAGGCAGCTCCAGTACTCTGTTTTAGAACACGTGACCCGATATCGTCACAACCTGGAGACTTTCCAGATGCCAGTTTCTGCAACTTCGCTAGTAACATTGCGGGGTCTATCTGAAGATTAGCCAGTGGATCTCCTCTTGGTAAAATAGCATTGCAGTCCTTCTGGCCTGAAGCATTAATAACCAGACTACTGAATGTTTCATACATTTTCAATCTAGTTAGATAATGACCATTTGGATCTACTAAGACGCATGCCGCATAGTTGGCAGGTTTTCTCTCCTGCATGAATCGGTACAGTCTTTTGGTACTTGCCAGCAGTTTTCTGACGAGATTTACCTGAAGTGCCCCCTTGTCACCTCTGCCTCTTGTTTTGCTTCGGTTCCTGATTTCCAGGTGTGGGTTTGGTCAGTGTGACCCTTCGAGATTTGATACGAAGACCAAGCTTTCCGCTATTTTTTCAGAATACTATTTTTCAGCCATGAGGACTGTTTCCTAAGATGTATTGTGACTAGAGGGACGATATGTGAGCTCACTGTATGATTAATCCCTTTTACCACTGCATATACGTCCTCTACGGATAACTCAGCCCAGTCTATGGTGCATTCTGCGTCGGACAAAAGCCTTTGCATTTTGATGCGGTCGGCTTTGCCACAGCACAAACAGGGTGGCGTGGCATCCCACTGTAAACGCCGACAAAGGACGATATCAGACACAATGGCAGCATGGTCGTGATTTCGACGATTTAGACTAGTAACTGGTCACTAGTTAGGACATAATCCAGTTTTGATGACTGTCCATTGGACCCCCACCTACAACCGTCTCCAACATTCTCAGTCGGTCCTGCATTTTTAATGGTTTGCATTATATTTCGACCGAATTTTCCTTGAGCATACCCCGGGCCAAGGTTAGGGGATGGGGCATTGAAGTCTGCAGCTATAGCGATTTTGTCGCAGCCCAGTGCTGAGCAGTAGCTGGTTGTGTTCTGCCCCACAGATTGGTGACCGATAGATGCGTCCTAATAAATGCTTGTTGGGGCCCAAGGTGTAGTGACACCAAATATAGTCTGTGTGTTCAGTAAGAGGTGGGCTGCAAGTACTCATTTAAGTTGCTTGCCAAAGTAAATGGCAACTCCCCCTTCCTTGTTATCCTTGTCTCACCTGACCAGAACCATATCACTGATACTGATTTCATTGTTCGCAATAGTAGGGGTTAGTCAGGTTTCAGTCAGGATAATTGTTTGAAGGTGTACGTGTGACTGCAGTTTTCTGAGCTCACCTACACTTCCTCTCAGTCATCACACATTCCTACACAGGCAGCCGGCAATGAGTTTCACCACCTCAGCGGGCCCTGAAGTAGTTGACTCTATGTAGGCTGCTGGTATAGGATTTGACATTGGAACCAGTTGGTCGATTCCTCAGGGTCCACCTAAGAGACTTGGGTGATGTTGGTTGTCATTCTCAGTGCTGAACAGCTGCAGTGTCACTGAGGCGTGGGGACATATTTTCACCTCGGACTGCTGCTTCCTTAGGCTTCGACGTAGGCTTTCGCATTATCGGATATATCTTTCGATTCTAGCCTTGGCCTACTACCACTGTTAAAGCACT